TCCGAACACTGGAAAATGGCAGTTTTAATACTATTTTAGAAGTACATATTTGTTTCAGCATTAATGTCAGTAATGAAATAATTCTTAGGAAGAAACACCATTGTGATTATCATTTATTGTTTAGATTGTTTAAATATCATTTAGATATATCCTGGCCAGAGCTGTAGTTCACGGGCCTCCAGATGGCACCCAGGCTGCAGGTGGTGGAGCACTTGCTTCAGCTCTTTCTTGGCAGCCAGCAGGTCCATAGGGGGCTCCCTTAGCTGGGCTGGGGTCCAGAGACTGGGCCACAAGGGTTCTGCTGCTGCTGGCGGGACTGCCCAGAGCTGGTGTGGATAGCAGCCTGGCACTCAGGGGTGCCTTGGGGCCTGGGGAAGGATGTGCGTGGGTTATATGCAAATACTACACCATTTTATATAAGAGACTTGAACGTCCTTGGATTTTGGTATCTGCGGGGTCCAAGAACCAACCCCTACGGATCGAGGGACTGCTGTACAAATTGAAGAGTGACTTTTTTTTTTTTTTTTTAAACTTCGTGAATGGACGTTTTTGTTGCCATGCACTTTTAAGCTTGCTCCTGGGCAGTCTAAACTGTACTTCACTACAGTATCCTATTCTGCTAATAATTATATTTAGTATTGAGGCATGACCACAGTGATTGATTGCATTTTTACAATTACTGAGCCAGAAACCTTTTATACTTACTGAATTTCATAGATTTGGTCTTTTTTTGCTCTAAAACATATAATCTATGGTGATATCTAGCTATCTTCAAATACATTCTTTTCTGATTTTTGTTTTTATTTTAATATTTTTGGGTTTGTATATGGTAAGTATTATATTTTTCCTTTAAAGACTTATTTCCTTCCTTGTCCTTTTTATGATAAAACGTTTTTACTGGCCTCATTTTATTTCCGCCCCTGTGTTAAATGCTGACTCTGCTATTTAGTTCATGTTCATTCGTATTCATTGTTTATTAGTTATCTTTTCAAGTTTCTTCTACTTTTTAATATTATTTATATTTGGTGTCAGTTAATTTTGTAATATAGCAAAGATATTTTCAAATACCCCAGTTACTGTATCAGTAGGAAGAACTATGAAAAAAATTAAGTGGCAGGTTAAACAATATCTGTATTGGTGATTATTTCCTAAAAATAAAACAAAAAAATCCCCAAACTCGTTGCCACTGAGTCGATTCTGACTCTTGGTGACCCTATAGGACAGAGTAGAACTGCCCTATAGAGTTTCCGATGAGCAGCTGATGGATTCAACTGCCAGCCTTTTGGTTAGCAGCCAAGCTCTTAACCACCACGCCACTAGGGTTCCAGTTATTTCCTACATGTCCCTAAAATACCTATTCCTCCAGTGTATAAGGGAAGGTTTCAAATTCTAGGATTTAAATAGGGAGGGCAATAAACGGCCTACTGATTATAGAGAAACATACATAATTATACATAACATACATAATTATAGAAGAGTCCCTGGGTGGCGCAAATGGTTAAGTACTGGATTACTTACTAACCAAAAAGTTGGTGGTTCAAACCCACCCAGAGGCACTTCAGAAGACAGGCTTGCTGATCTGCCTCCAGAAAACTCTGTGGAGCAACAGTGCTACTCTGCACACACAGGGTCACACTCAGACAGCAACTAACAACAACAACAACAAAATTTGTGTTAAAACATTTAATTTTGTAATTTTTGTTCTCAGTTTTCTGTTATTTGTAATATTTTCCAAATACTAAGAGTCGGCAGCTAACAGTAAGGAATAATTTTTAGTACTTTTTATCAAAATCGTCAATAAGCCTTCACTGCTGCAGTGATAATCCTACATGTAAGATTAGTTCCTGCTCTTTTTTTCTCTGCTTTTACCTGCTAGTCATATGTTTTATGGCTTAACTGCATCAGGTTATTTTAAAAGCAGAATATGTAAGTGTTTTAATAACAAAAATACTTAATTTACCTGAATTCACTAATTGCTAAATAAATGCCATCCCTTTGTTAGTTCTTCATTCTCAATCTCTCAAAAATACTCTCGTAAAAAAAAAAAAGACTAAATCTTTTCCTCATGTATATTGACTCTTCGAGTATGATATTGCTGACTTGGCTGCCAGCTTGATGTATATGGGACGTTCAGTCTCTAGCTATAGTTATTTTGACTATAAACTTACATTGGGAACACATTCTTGTTTTTCTAAGATAATGTGACTGTTATGATCATATATTCTATTAATGTATTTGGGGTTGTATGCTCTGGGGAAAAAAAGCTAATAATCCTTGCTAACAGGATTTATGTTTATTTTAAAGATTTATATTTTTTATGAGACAAATTACGTCCGTGTTGGTAATTTTTATTTTAACAGCATTGGGGACATCATAGATCACTATCGAAAAGAACAGATTGTTGAAGGATATTATCTTAAGGAGCCTGTGCCAATGCAGGTCAGTGTTATTTTTCTTTTTGTTATAATTAGCATTTTATTTCAAAATGTATTTTGGTGGTTGTTTATGCATGCATTAATGCAATTAAAATGGGATAAATTTTAAAACTGCAGAATGTTCAGATTCTTTCAGAAAGTGAACTGTAAGAGAATCTCTTAGCTTTCATGTATGTTGATTCTAGATAATTAGGAAGTCCTTGGTGGCTTTTTGAGGATAGAAGCAGTGGTGGGGGCAGAAGACAAGTTGCACTGGGTCAAGGAGTGAGTTTGTTGGAGGCAAAAGTGGAGACAGCAAGGATAAACCACAGCCAGGCTTATCTAGGTAAGCTTGGTAAGTAAAGAAAAGAAATAAAAAAATAACAATAGCTAGAAAAGGGTTTAGGTTCAACAGGGCTATAAACTTTTTTGTTTATTTATGGTTTGATGATGAGAGAGTCTTGAACATGTCTGTATACTTTTGGAAAAGCCAGTAGTAAAAAGGAGAGTGACAGTAGAAGTGGAGGATGGCTAGTGGCAGTACCTGATGTACAAGGTCCTAGAGAAGGCAAGAATGAATAAAATTCACAACATAAGAGGAGAGATTGGCCTTGAACAACATGTCCTGTTGAATGTAAGTTGTTAATGCATACTAGGGTGATTAGACTCAGTTTCTTCCCATCAT